AGTTGAATGTTTGGTGTTTGATGCTATGGGGAGGAACTGAAGGTGAGAGTAGGGTTCATTTCGTTGCCTTGCGTATGCTGTCTGAACTTTGAAGCCTTGCTGATGATATTTACGACTTGATTTCTTGTATTGGTTTCAGGTATCTGGCCCATCCACTACGTTGGAGTCTACATTGGATGCTCTTAACGTGAAAAGATTTGACGGTGAGGAGTGTGTTGCGTGGGTGTAAGGAAACAGAGGCCTCTGAGCTTCCTGGAATTATGCCTTTTGGGTGGAGTATTTGGAGTAAAATATATAATTTAATTTATAAAAATACAGTGTCTTCTCCTGATATCCGGGACAGCTGTACTTTTGCTAACCTATTTTCTTCTCTCAATATCGCACCTTTCTCACACTAGCTACCTTACTTACCTACCCTACATTATCTCCTCGCATATCTAGCATGGGGACCTCCCAGGGCAATACCAAATAACTCACCAACCCAAGGCAACCTGGCAAGCAGCCCACCATCCCAAGGCAACCCGGCACAACAATCCCTAAATCTATTCGCTCTTATGTACTGGCAGGCGGACCTAGAATGTTACGGGTTATGGGTCGGGAAGGAAGATGGGCCTACCTATCTGTCTGTGAGGACTACTGCCTAGCTGAGCTTACCCCCTCACGGTTGAACCTAACCCCTGGCACTGGATGGGAGGGGGAGGGATCTCCCCCAAGACCTAGCAGGGGGGCCAAGCGAACTATCTCAGCTGGTGAACCAGAGCTGCGCCGCAGGGGGCAGAGGGCATGGGGAATCGAACCCACAACCTCCTGAATGCCGCTTATGTGCTCTACCAACTGAGCTAGGCCGCTGGCCCGGAGTATTTGGAAATTTGTTAATTGACTTTTGAGCTTTTTTTATGGAATAAGTTACTACCTGAAGACAGTGACGAAGTCAACAATTTCTCTGTCGATATCTATTGGTAAATCTTCTCTGGGCAAAGAACCCTTCTATGTTTTGATTTGTTCTTTCTGTCTTGAGCTCCGCGTCGTAGATGATTTGTTCTCCCCACCCCACTCCTCCTCCCCTCTCCTTCCCTCCAATTGTGCATGCACAGTCCCTTGTCTCCACACTCCATTTCTCCTCCCGTCTCCACTTCTCCTCCCGTCTCCACTTCTCCTCCCCTCTCCTTCCCTCTAACCCTGCATGCACACCCACACACCCACACACCCACACACCCACACACACCCCCACCCACCCACCCACCCACAAACCCATACACTCGTACACCCATACACCCATGCACCCATACACCCATACACCCATACACCCATACACCCATACGCCCATACACCCACCTAAACCTTGGAAAGGAGCACCACGGCCAGTTCGATGAAGGTGTGGCCTGGTGTTTTGCCATGTGCTGTTGAAGTTCTCAGTGTGTTACCTCTTTTTTGTCTGGAGAAGATGTCAATTTCTTTCTTTTCCAGGTCAGCAAAAGCTGTCGATGTCTTGGACTGTTGGGACTGCAGACGCTGCAGAGTCTGTACCTATGTTGATGTCTTGGCTTGTTTGGAACTGCAGATGCTGCAGGTCTGCACCTATGTTGATGTCTTGGCTTTTTGGGACTGCAGACGCTGCAGAGTCTGCACCTTTGTCATGTCTCGAGTGCTTTATCACCTTTGCAGCTGCATTCTGAAACCATAACCCCAAGTTTGGGACAGTGCAATCAGAAGAAGTGCCAGAGGTAAAGAATCCCAGTTTTGAAGAAGAGATCTGAATACAGAAAGCCATTTAAATAATGCAATTCTGTAAAGACTGGAATGTCTTGATTTTGATGTTGTTACGATCCTGGCCAATTTCGAAGTATACATTCATCAGAAAGTACAATGCCGTCCAATTGCAAAAAGAAATGAAWGAACTTGAGAGGAGAGAGAGGGAAAGAAGAAGAAGAAGAAGAAAGAAAGAAGAAGAAGATGATGTACTCCAGCATAGACCAAAGATAATGCTCTTCTTCTTCGCCAACCAATCTCCTCCTCCTTATCTTCTCCCCTCTTATTCAAACAAGAAATAACAATAATAATGTTGAATGTCTGAAACAGAATCAATGTCCGAATCCCTCTTCTTCTGCAGGCGCAACATGAGGTCCACCATAGCCATGGCCACCCTTCCTCTTCCTCTTCATGCAGGCCGAGGCTATGGCGGAGTACTGAGGGCTGAACCCTCCTGTCCAAAGGACAACCCAAAGCAGCTATGTCGCTGCCTCTCTGTGCAAAGGACAACGCAAAGAAGCTATGCCGCTGCTCATTAGGCCGCCATGCCTGTCGCTGCCCCGAGCTTCCTTGGTGCAGCACTACCCCAACTGGGGCCTTCCAGATGCAGCGCCTATCAAGGTGACGAAGATGGTGTCCATCATAGCCAGGTAGGTACGTTGCCACTCTCCTGCTTGGTCCTATTCTCCCTCCTCCTCCTACTGGTAGAGCTCCGCCATAGCCAAGGTGGAAGCTCCCGGGCTTCTTCCTCCCAGCAGCGCTGTAGTAGCCAGTGCTCTTCCATCCAGCACTCCAGCAGCGTGTCGCCAAACTTGCACACTGAAGAATGAGGCCGGGCTCTTCCCTCGGCCTCCAGATATAGCGGCCTACTTGCCTCCTGGGCGGTGACTTCGAGGCCGCTCGGCCTCCCAAGCTACCTCCTCCCTTTTGGAGGGAAACATCGTTGCAGACTCTGATATTGCCTGTACAAGCCCTAGACTCAGACTGGATGGACTGGTACCGGCCTAGACCTAGCCTACCGCTACTGGGCCTCAAAACATGCCAACTTTGTCTTCTTCTGCTCGGCCTCGAGTACTTGGCACATCTACTTCTATTGGGTGTGGTACCGGCCTACCTGGTACTTGAGTGTTTTTCCCGCTGCTCTAAGTGCCGCGGACCTCTGGGTTCGCCACTTGAGTGTTTTCCCTGCCGCAACCCTCAATGTCACGGCCACCGGTAAGTACCGGCCCTACAGGCCTCCCAAACAAACAAGTACCCTTGCGGGTCACACACACACTCATGTCGACAAGCACTCAGACAGGCATGCAGGTCACCAAGCACACACTTACACAGAATTAGAAAACTCAGCAGAATGCGGGAATCTCAGCAAGGCATCCATTCCATTGCCAGAACTTCAGAAATCAACAGTGTTCTCAGTCTTTGTTATGGCGGGTCATTACAATATACAAATTTGGCATTTTGTGCTGTGTGATGGGTACAAGCTCTTTGATTCTCACATATTGCTTATTGAGTTTAACACAACGCGACCCCTACTGTGATGTCGGATTTGTCTTTTTTCAGCTACACTTGCTGTGGACCCTCTTTTTCATCAGACCTCAGCGCAATTTGATGAAGGTGGTGCCAAAGGTCTCCTCCTGAACAATCTCTCTGTTCACAGGTAAATCTGTTATATCTGACCTTCTGAAGCACTGTTGGGTATGGAAGATAACTTGTAACGTCAAACGTCAAGCCACCATTGTTCCTGAACCTTTCGTTTCTTTTCAGGCATCATCATTAACAAATCACGCCGAGCTCATTAGGAGGTATTGAACTCATTTTATTCCACCAGGATTTGAACTCAAGTGAGGATTTGGCCCTCGCAAAGGCCCTTGAGGCCTTGCCTGCGCCCCCACAAATCAGGCCGAGGTAATTTGGAGGTATTTAACTCGTTTGATTCCACCAGGATTTGAACTCATGCGAGGGCCCTCGCAAAGGCCCTTGAGGCCTTGCTGGTGCCCCCACAGGAAGTAGAGCAGGCCTCATAGGCCGCGGGGGCGGGTTTCCTCGAGCCTGGCGGGCTCTTCCAGGGTCTGCACTTCTTAGGGCAAGTGTGGCACCCCACGCCCACCCCTGATGGATGGCCTCCAACCATGCGGCTGGGCTCACACTACTTCCGTCGATAGGATGAGCACAGTCAGAATGAATCTTTCTCTAGAATATGGAAATATACACTGCTTTCCAGCCATGCACACAGAGAGATAGAGAGAGGGTACTTCCATCGACAGGATTAGCAAAATCGGAATGAATCTTCTGCTAGAACATTGAAATATACACTGCCACTTTATTTCTTCTTTTTTATGTGTGTGTGTGTGTGTGTGTGTGTGTGTGTGTGTGTGTGTGTGTGTGTGTGAGAGAGAGAGAGAGAGAGAGAGAGAGAGAGAGAGAGAGAGGGGGAGAGAGAGAGAGAGAGAGAGAGAGAGAGAGAGAGAGAGAGAGAGAGAGAGAGACAGACAGACAGAAGGAGACAGAAGGAGACAGAAGGAGACAGAACAGGTAAGTCTCCAACCTCGCGGCTGGCCTCACCCTTTTTTTTTAATTTTTTTTTAATAAATGAACAATCTCGAAACAGACACTCTCATAAAGATGAAACATGAAAGTACAGAGAGATCGCCATAGCCCCGCTATGACTCCGTGTCATCCTTGTCGTCAGATAAGATCGCAGAGAGAACATGGTTACTGCTATAGCACAGGAAACACAAAGAATAGAAAGAACACATCTCCGACATTTGTACAGCGAAAACTAACACTCGCTGGGAAAAGAGACTTAGGTCCTCCCTCCACCGCTCACCAAATGTGCAAATTGAAAATGGATCTTGCCCTTGAACATGGAAAGATACACCGCCATATTTTTATCTTCCCTCAGCTTCTGGTGAGTGGTGGAGCAAGGCCCTTAGGTGATCAGCCGTCCAGTGTGTATGCCGTTTGATCTTTGGGAAAACATCTTCGAATTCCAAAATGACTGTCTTCACCCGAATAGAACACCCGGTCATTATCGCTGCATCTGGACTGAAAGTTGGGCCAAATGCAGCTTTATGACTGGGCGTTCTATTCGGGTGAAGACTGTAGAGCTCTGTGACAACAAAGTTGAACAAACAGAAGCTTGTCATGGTCCTTGCTTGAACAAAAAGAAAACAAATTTGTTAGGGAAAAAAAAGGAGTAGATAAGAAAAAAAACAAAAAGTAGGAAGGAAAAAAAAAAAGTAGGAAGAAGTAAGTACTAATATGAAATTGGTGAAAAATTTCTGTCGTGAGTGTGTTCACTGAGCAGGTAGGGGTTTATCTCTGTTGCGGATTGTTAATTTGAAGCCTGACCCACCTTTTTTTTTTTTTTTTTTTTTTTTTTTAAGTGGGAACAAGGCTCCAATCTATTCGTGGGGAGCAACACGTGCTGGGAACCGGGCCCAGCGTCCCATGTAGAAATTTACATAGAATTGAAAGTTTGAGATACCGGGGCCATTACACGGCTTTGGCTAAGAAAAAAATTGAAGTACTTAGAAATGAAACGGTTTTCACCTGCTAGCAGTAGCGAATGCAGATCCCAGGGCTCGATCCCTAGTTCTGACCTTACCTGTGTACAGTATAGAGTTGACCACTGAGTGTTTGAACACTGGACCTATGTTTTGTTAGTTGTTGTTTGTCTGTTGTAGGACTGTGCAGATGTAGGGATTCAATCTGTAGGTCTGTCGAGTAGGGGTCACAGCTCTGTAGAGGTCGTAGCTATAGGTCTACTGAAAGGTCAAGGTCGTAGCTTGTACAGCCCTGAAAGGTCAAGGTCGTAGCTGCTACAGTACCCGAAAGGCCAAGTCCGCAGACTTCCGGAACATCCCGGAAGTGGCCTTTCGGAGTGGGCTCGCGTTTAGGCAGAGGCAAGTGGGCAAGTGGTGGAGCCAACCTCAGTACGTTGGCAGTGCGACTGCAGTGAGTCTGCGGTGCAAACCCATGCAGTCAGCGGTACCGATCCAGTCAGTCCCAGTCCAGTCCAGCAAGTACCATGAGGGACTGTGTGCACCATGGGCCGGTGGAAAAGGGCAGACCAGCGAGTTACAGAAGTATAAATCAAGAGGCAGCGCCCAGCCATTCATTCATTCCGGCGTAAGCCATGCGGAAGCGCTGCCATAGCGCTTGTGCGAGGTGATCTGCAGTGAGCCCAAGGACGAAGAGGGCGAGAAGGAGCTTAGCCATAGCAATAGTGGTAGCAGCGGCCATAGCCGCCATAGCTATTAGAAGGGAGTAGCATGTGTGTGTGTG